CAAACAAATTCAAAGCATTTTCTCAACATCCAAACACCCAAATTCAAAGCATTTTCTCAGCATCCAAACACCCACTAAGAATTGCTTCTTTGCCCAACTGCTTCTGTTCTTTCCATTTCCATTTTGAACATATAACAAACATATAATGTCTTGGATAAGCTCTTCGCAAACCAACATATAACAAAAAAAAAAAACAAAAAAGTGGAGCTGGGTTCGACAGAACCCAGCAAAGGAACCCAGCTCGAACCCAACTCGAACCCAATCATCGAACCCGAGCTGGGTTCGATGGAACCCAGTTGCTGTGTTCCTCAAACCCAGCTGATCTGGGTTCACCGAACCTAGCAAATTGGGTTCCATCGAACCCAAATCTGCTGGGTTCGACGGAACCCAGCAGATCTGGGTTCCTTGAACCTAGCAAATCTGGGTTCGGTGGAACCCAGGCTGGGTTCCGTCGAACCTAGCAGACATAGAGGAAGAAGAGGAACAAAGAAGAGGAAGAAAGAAAAAGAAAAAGAAGAAAGGAAGAAGATGATCGAAAGAGGGGAGGGGAAGAAGATGTATCAAAAAAGGGAGATGGGTAAATTTGTAATTTCTATTTTTTTATTAAGGCAAAATCGGTTGATGAGTTGGTGATGAGTTGGCAATAACATGGCTTAAAAAAAATTTCATATCAATGTTTTTTATAATTTTTTTGATGACAAAAAATTATTTTTGCCATGTCATCAAAAAAATTATAAAAAAATGCCACGTGTCGTAGTTAACTGTCTAAATTGATAGAAGGACTAACGGTGTGCATTTCTTAGAGTTGATGGATAAAAAAAGTACAAAAAATTATTAAGGGACCAAAAATGTGCAACTCACTAAAGTTGAGGGACCAAATTTAACATTTAACCTTAATCTTTTGACCAAATAATTGAAAAAGATTTGTACCATTCGCTTGCATATTTTCATTGTAGTTCATATTCTGTTCACGGTGAGAGTCGGATGCATGGCATAGGGATAACTAAAATTATATAGTTACAATGCCATGTTTTATACAATTAATAATGCTGACAACAATATTTGAACATGATGCTTTGAAGGATTTATCTCCATTTAATTAATTAATTAATTAATTTCAGTTTATATGATGTACATGCAACATTAGGAGATGCAATGGAGGCTCTATTCTTCAACTTTCAATGTAATGCGACTTGAGAATAGAATTTTTGTAGGGGAAAGAGCAAGCATTTTCAGTTTCTTTTAGGACAATGTATTTGAAGGGGAAAGTACAAGTCTTTTCTAACACTTGCACCGGGTTCAAGATAGAAGGATGGATACTCAATACAAGTTACTCTGGGGCAGCAAACTATCTTTGAAGATTTTAGCATTTGTATGGAAAGCTTTACAAAACAGGATTCCGAGCAAAGAAAATTTGCTGAAAAGAGGAATGATTGCAGATTTTGATGTAGCAAAATGTATTATGTGTAGGAGAAAACAGAGACTTCGGAACATATTCCTTTTTCCTGTATAGTTTTATGGAAAGTTTGGAGTTCTTGCCATAATTGGTGGGGCATTAAGGTGGCGTTATAGGAGGGTGGATGGAAACACTTGTCTCAGCAGGTGGGCCTTGTTTTCTGATAAATAAATAAAAAAAAGGCATATGGGCCTTGTTAGCACAGGAATAATCAGAGAGGCATGGACAGCAATATGGTTCTACACAGTGTGGTCTATTTGGCTACAGTGGAATAGTTTGATATTCAAGGAGTCCAAGAACCTTGAACAGGCCATAGATCAAATTAAATTCTGTTTGTCTTCATGGATCAAAGCAAAATTGTTGCTGGACTTGTCTCAAGTGAGTTGGTACAATAATCCTATGGAAGCTTGTAGGAAGCACCCGCTGCGAAGGTTTTATTTTTGCAAAAGAGAATGGCAGGGAACCATGTTGTCTATCGGATTATGTGTATGGCCATTATGTTGTACACTAATCAAATGTTAACTCCTTTCTTAAAGTAGTTTTGTAATGGGATTAAGGTACCTTTTGTATCTCTTTAATAAAGAATTAATTTTTCTGTTGACAAAAAAAAAAAACGAAGAAGCACATATGTGATATCAAAATCCTAAAAAAAGGAAGAATGTGAGATCCACCTACGACGATCCCAAAAATGACAAATGTGAAATCGTACAAACCTCGTCATGGCTCTGACTTTGGATTTGCTCCCTCTCTTCTTAGCACTTGAATATTCTATGGCCAGAAATAGGTTCAGCATTTTGGAAGTTTAAGCGAAAAATTAGAAGTGGGTTACATTTTGTAAAGGCCCAGGTTGGCTTACCTATGCAAACCAGCCCGAAAACGAAGACCAGATAGGTTGTCTACCTTTTGTACTTTAAAGCCCATAATTGGAAAAAATTATGTTAGATTGTATGAAGAGATTATATGAAAAAATTAGTTCTCAATTATTTTTCAATAATTATCCCATAAAAATTAAAACATCCAGGGACCTATAGTTATTTAATTATATTAATAAAATATCATTTTATGAAACAAGCAGCAACTAATATAGTTGTAAAATACATCTTTTTCCTACAACTTTTGTTGTTGTAAATATTCTTTTAAATAATAACTAAAGTTGTTCTTTATATTACTTTAACAATGACTTATGTTTCCAATTATTAGTTTTAGAAAGATTATAATTGTTACAGAATGTAACTTTGCAACGAACTTAAATTATTGCTAAATAATATGTTTGAAGACAACAAATAGTGAGGCTAAACGGTGATACGGTAGCCATTGTTTCGTCATTGCAATTGGGCATTGGCCTTTATCTATGGTTTACAAATATAGGTATTTTTCTTTGTTTATGGTTTTATGCACGTGAGTATATAACCTAAAGGTGTTTTTCTTTACCCACCGAAATTTGAAACCGTAAGAATATTGTCAAGAGCATAGTTAGATATCTATAGCTATATTGCAATACTTACGATTTAATTTTAACAATATAACCTTAGATTTTGTCTGTAACTATATAGCAAATTAGCTGACATCCTACAACTTGAGCAGCAGAGAATAAAAGCTCCTAGCTTTTCAGGAAAGCAAAGAAAGAACTTCGTCGATGATAAAAAAAAAAAAAAAAAAATGGTTGGCTATATTGATGGCATGGATGTCTCCGGTCGTTGTCATTTTATCGTTCACGTACAATTCTGAAAGCTAAAAAGTAGACACCTATAAAATATGGTGTTATGCATTCCACCACGTACATTGAGGGTGATGGGATGAGATCAAAACTCAGAAGTGTTAGCTAGCTGACTCAGATTTCCAAAGATGACTTGCTTTAATTTACTGTAGAGCATAGACCTTTTGCAAACGAAAAAGTAATCGTATATTATGTGTTGATGCCGTCAAATACCTTCTTATTCCATTAACTTTTTGCTTTTATACTAAAACCTTATCTTCTTCTTTACCCTCACAATTTCTCTTTGATTTCTTTCAATTTCTCTACAACAAAACAGTCCAACAAGAAGCTAGCCATGGTTGGATTATTCAACTAACCCTAAACAACCTCAGTACATGAAATTAAAATCTAGAGTTAAATAAATAAAAAACCAAGGCATGTGATTTGCAATTTGCCATAGTCCGTCTTATTTTTTTAATTTGTTGGGTGTATTGGAGAAGTTACTTCTTTTGGTAATATTAGAGTTTTG